TTTTTTTTTAATCACCATACACAATATATTTTTTTAATTGACAGAGAGAATTTTAATACTTATTTTTTAGTTTTCAGCGGACATAACATCTTTGTATGTGGTGCTGAGGATCGAACCCGGGCCACAAGCATGTCAGGTGAGCGCACTACCACTTGAACCATATCCCCAGCCCCTTGGCTGTTCTTTACACAGCCTATATACCTACAATAAGCCAGGGGCTATGTAAGCATTTTATATCCTTTCACCTTCACAGCAACTCTCAGATGATGCAGAGACATTAGATAAGTAGTTCAAGGGCTGGGGCTGTAGTTCAGTGGTAGAACAGTTGCCTAGCATGTATGAGGTACTGGGTTCGATCCTCAGGACCACATAAATAGTAAACATAAAAGAATGCTGTCTATCTACAACTCTAAAAAAAAATATGTAGTTCAAGATCTGTCAAACAGTAAGTAGAAGAGGGAAAAAGAAAAAACCCAAAACTCCCAAGTTCAGCAGTCTAAACCCAAGGGCTTTCCCCCATGGTATATTATATTAAGAACCAGCAGGTTCAAAAACAGATGATGAGTGGGTTTCAGAAATGCTGGAAGCCTTAATTGCTAGAAGAGATTCTTAAATCACCTCTAAAAGAACTGTTTGGGAACATTTTATCCAATCATAGCATAATTAAATCAGCAAAGCCCAATCAAACAATTAGAAGTAAACAAGGTCACCCATCACCATGGTGCCAATGTAATCAAGCAATACTTTGCTGATTTCCAGTACTGAGGCACAGCAGGTTTCTTGTGTCCTGGACTTTATAGTAAGGCCACAGCTCAAGGAAGGACTAGATTGGCATTTCCTGACTTTATCTTCTACCCAAACCCCTTCCATACTGCCCTTTGCTGCCTCCATAAAAAACACTTCATCATGATTCCTGCTACCTTTTCTAGCTAGAAGATATAAATTATTCAGAATGGGTAATTTCCCAACTCTTTATCTTAAGGGCGGTCATCTGTGTCTCTCCTGTAGTTTACCATTGCTTCCTTCCAGATTATGGGCTTCTGCCCTTACTGCCTCCAGCCTGTGGAGGACAAATGACCACCCCTGAAAACCATACCTTTTCCTAACATCCTGCAAATTAAAATGAAACAATGAGCAGTCTGGACGAAGTGGCTTTATTAGAGAAAACAAAGATTACATAGGACTTAGGAGTTGGCATTGGGGCCTTTCTTCTTGCCAAAGGTGGGCACAACATTGACAAAGCGCCGGTTGTACTGCATCCGCCTCTTGGCACGGCCTGTCTTCTTCTTCTTCTTCTCCTGTTTGGCCACCTGGGAAAAAGAAGGGCTGATCAGAACCTGGCTGACCTCTTACAAGCCTGGCACTCTTCCCTCAGGCTCTTCTCCAGGAAGGGACAAGACAAACAGAAACATCAAGGGTCTTGGATTAGCTGTGGCAGTAAGACAAAGTCCAAACACCACAAATTTTCTCACTCACCTTGGGAGTTTGACCTCTTACTTTTCCAGCACGGGCCAGAGAACCATGGACTTTACCTGTGGTGAGAAGGGAGAACAGCAGCAGATTGAGACAAGTTTGGCCTTAACTGGAGTGAAACAAAGTCAGAGTTTTGACCTGTAATAACATTTTCTGGCTCTGGACTTTCAATAAGACTTGAAGAGCATCTTGGGGATCTGGTCTGACACCTTGATTTTAGTGGGGAAACTGAAGCCAGACAGAGGTCTGCCAGAAGAACTGCTGTCTGGCTCCTTCTCTCACACACCTCTTGGAGTTCATTTAGAGGTGAACGGGAAAAATTTAGCTGGACTGAAGATCGTGGAAAACAATTCAGGGTCTTACCGAGCTGCCAGGACTATGTACCTCACACTCACTCATTTAAGGCAGTTCAAAAAGCCCTCCTCCCCCACTTACCTCCAAGCATGCGGCCGGCTACTTCCAAAGTGGTCAAGGCCTCCACTCCACACTGGCCCAGAGTAGCCTCATCCTCCAGCGGCGCGCCTGCCAGAAGCACGACTTGGTCTTCCGGGGCGATGCCCTCCAGTGAGGCTACATGAGCCTGCAGGAGAAGCGAGATTCGTGTGCATTCCCGCGGGTACGAGGACCAAGAGAACCAGAGGACGGGTAGAGTGCAAGCAGCTCCACGCAGACTTACCTTGATCTGGGCGACCGTCTCCTGGCCGGTTACTTCGAGGGTGTGTAGCTCTTGGGCGCGGACAAAGAGCTGCATGTCGGCGACTGAAATGAAAGGCTCGTGTGAGAAGAGGAAAAGCGTCCCAGGAACAAGGGAGTCAGGGAATGGGAAACGGAGCAGGACGAACGCGTCGGGACTGAGAAAGGCGCGGCGTGTCAACGTGGGGGAGACCGGGCCTGCGAAGAAGCTCAGGCAGGGACTCGAGCCCGGGCCGCCATAGAGAAGCCCCTGCCCCTTGATTTCCCGGTGCCTTCAGACCCCGCGGCCGGCCTGCTACCAAGCCCTCGCCTAAGTCTTACCTGAGCCGCGGCCCGAGGTGCCGCTACCGTGAAGATGGAGTCGAGAAAGAGGAAGAAGCGAGGGCGCGCACGTCCTCACCGCCTGCTTCGTGCCACGTCACTACTGAGCGACCGCGCGGTCCTCTAATATTTGTACCGCTCATCACCATTCTAGCTCCGCCCCTTTACGCTACGCTCAGGCGTCCTTTCTTCGTGGGCTGTGCGCGCAGGTGGGTGGAGGGGGCGGGACCAGGCCGGTTGCGCGCGCAGAGTGCTAGTAAAGGGGCTGGTCAAGATGGCGGCGGCCGTGTTCCGGGCGTCGCTGCGGGGCTGGACCACTGGGGTCCTGCGGGGCTTCGGGCTGCGGCACCAGGTGAGAGCGCCGAGCTTGGAACTGAGGGAAGAGGGTTGAGTGCGCGGCTCACTGTTGTTCATTGTAACTCTGCAATCCGCATCCCTACATGGGTTCTTAGTTTTCCTACCCAATCGGTGGCACTTGTCTCGAAGGTAAATACAAGATTGAGGGGGAAAGCGGTAGATCCCGGAGGGCGCGTGAGGAATATGGGGTTGAGATGTGGATAAAAGAGAGCGCGGGGTAGTCGCGACTGGGGGTTACTGCCCACGACACTCGCTGCCTGGGTCCTGAGTGTGAGCAGGGAATTGCCATTAGTTAAAGTACCTAATCTAGAACTAGACTGTTTTAACAGAATGTGCAGAGACAACTTTTAAGTACTGAAAAATGCCATAGTGGTCAATCTTACTGCTAATTGGCTTTTCAGAATTACACAGTGTCATTTGAGTCCTGAGAGAAGCATGCTGTTCAGAGTGCCTGAGTTTCTTTGCCCAGTCCCACCTACACCCTGCACACCGGGAAACTGAAGCTTGGTGCTTTCCGCCTCACACCTTTTATTTATGCTCTTCTCTCTGCTTGAAATGTTTCCGTTATTGTACTTAATAAAGTTCTCTGTTGTTGGGTAAGCCATGGAGAGATTGTTTGTTTTGCCTCAGAGCCAGACCCAGGGGCCACCTGATTACCCCAGCTTCGTGGAATCTGTGGATGAGTATCACTTCGTGGAGCGCCTGTTACCTCCAGCCAGCATCCCAAAGCCCCCAAAGCATGAACATTATCCCACCCCTAGTGGCTGGCAGCCTCCCAGAGGTGAGGTGGTTTGAAGGCTGATGGGGAGCATCTCCCTCCCCAGTGGCTTCAGGACTCATGTAGAAATCCTTTAGGATTAGCATTGGTTAGTGCCCAAGTAAGGGCTCAGGAGTGGAGCTGTCCATTCACGGGTACCCTATCCATCCACACTGTTGGGATGGAGTCTTTCCACCTGGGGAAAAAAAATGAAGCATAGAAAGAAAACCAAGTGCTTGAACTGATATTCTCCCCGGGCAGACTATTTATCATAATTGAGAACACAGCTTGGGAGTCAGGCAGTTTAGGGTTTGAATTTCATACTGCTGTTCATTGCTGGTATGATCTTGAGTTAATCATTTCTCCCAACTTCAATTTCAGCAAAATAGAGGTAATTTTCTCAGCACATAAAACACTTAGTGGAAAGCCCAGCATATGGTAGGTGTTTGTAAGTCCTTTGTTCCAGAGATTGATTTTGGCCACCCTGACCCAGTGGAAAAGGGCACGGATTACCTGAGAGGGGACCCAAAGATCCAGGGAGGCATGACCCTGACTTCATTTATTTCTTGCCATTAGTTAAAGTACCTAATCTAGAACTAGACTGTTTTAACAGAATGGTGGGAATCCCAGCCCTGGTCCCTGCTCCATTCCAAACCACTTACATGATACCATGATACACAATTTGGTCCTGACTATAAACTGAAGGAAAGAGATGCCCTGACATGAAGTCTCTAGTTGGCTTGGTCCAATTGGTTGCAATAACCCTCTGCTGATTTTGTGAGGGGAAGGGCCTTGACTGTTGTTGGGTGAGGCCTAGAATGAATGGCTTATCAATATCCATTACTGACAGATCCCCCACCCAACCTGCCCTACTTTGTACGGCGCTCTCGAATGCACAACATCCCTGTCTACAAGGACATCACACATGGCAACCGCCAAATGACTGTGATCCGGAAAGTGGAGGGGGATATCTGGGTAAGTGTGTAGGGAAGGGGTGGTAGCAGGGTGTGGTTCTGTACTTTTGGGGGCTAAAGGGACAGTAGTCTGAGATGGACTATTGATCAGACCCAATTTATCATCTTTTCCCAGGCCCTACAGAAGGATGTGGAAGATTTTCTGAGCCCACTGCTGGGGAAGACACCTATCACCCAGGTTAATGAGGTGACTGGTACCCTTCGAGTCAAGGGCTACTTTGATGAGCAGCTTAAAGCCTGGCTCCTTGAGAAGGGCTTCTGAAGCCTCCTGAGCAACCTGCATGGCATAGTCCCCCACAGACTGGAGTTCAGGGGACCTTGGGAGTTGAAGTGTATTGAAACCCCTGGGACAGGATACAAAAATCAGGGTTAAGGGCTTGGACAGGGCAGAGTATAAGGGCTAAAAGGCTGTGGGGCCAGGCCTTTCTTACATAAAGAGGGAAATGGGTCCCTATGCACCGGTGTCCATTAGGGGAAAGCTCTCAAGCATGAGAGACCCACCTTGAACCACCAAGCTAGGAAAGGACATTATCTGCTGTCCTTCCCCTCACTGTGGCCTGTTACTTGGGGCTGGAAATGACAGCACAACCCCCTTTGAGGGAGGGTTCACAGGGCAGAGCCTTTGGGCACATCCTTCCTCAGCCCTCTGGGAGCTCACTGCCAGGAGCATTCCTGAACCTTTGCTGTAGATCAGACCTGGCTTGGTCCTGAAGGGTTTGTAAAACACTGTTGACTTCAGCACAGGGTCCTGAGAAAAGCCTTAAGTTCAAGTGCATTGCTGGGCACCAGAGCATAGGTAGCCATGTAGCCCAGGGAGAGGTGGGAATCCCAGCCCTGGTCCCTGCTCCATTCCAAACCACTTAGACTTAACTGGGTTTCCAGTTCTAAGAAGTCAAGTGATTAGCTTTGGCTGGCCTGGCCAGGCCATAAGATGGTACTTAGCAGCTCCTTGCAGTCTGGCCCAAGCCCATCCTCCCAGCCTGTTGACCTGTAGGCAGGAAGTTGCAGACCTTTCACTCCTGTGAGTGGTCCACCCATAGTCAACTAGCCCTACCCTGGAGTTACCCAGGTCAAAGACCTGAGGTTTCTCCCCTTCCCTCAAACTGGTTAAGACCGTGTTTGGATCCTGGCTCTTGGTCTCTGACCCAAGGTAGGGTGCCGATTTCTCTCTGGGGCTCAGTTTCTCCATATGCAAATGGGTATGTCTTTGTCAAGTGTCTCCTTCTGGAAATTACAGAGCATTATCAAGTCCATAGTCTTGGTAAGAAAAAGGAGCCCAACCCTGATCCTGACATAAGCCCCACCAGTCATTAATGCAAGTTTTTATTTGGCCGTATATACAATTTAAGCTATTAAAATTTTTACAATATTTACAAATTAAATAATCATCTGAAACTGTCTCCAGCAACTCTTGTAACACAAAACCAAGGGGAAGAAAGACAGGGACAGGCAGGCCTTGGCTCCTGTGGTCCCTGCCTGGCCCAGAGCCTGTTCTAAAGTGGAGAGGAGGAGCTGCACTTCTGGCTCCTCTTTCCTGGGGATGGGCATTCAAATTCAAAAGATAAAATTTAAGCCAAAAGCCACCAGGTAAGGTAGTAGTTCCAATCCTTCTGAACTTAAGAATCTTAAGTTCTGCAAGGTGAGAAGTGGCCTTCCTTGGATTCTGGGTTGCAGTGGTTAAGGAGCAGCACACTAGCCCTCAGCCCGGCTGTGGCTGGGCAGTGGCTACAGGGTGAGACTGAGGCAGCCTCACCTAAGAGAAGCTGCAAGGGAAAGGGCCTGGGGGAGGGGCAGGGTCCCTCAGTGCTGCCCGCCTGCCCCCCACCCCCAGGCACTCCTTTCCCTGAGTTGTGTGGTTGCCAGTAAGACGTGGAAATGCCACAGGGCACAGGGGGCATAGCCACCACTACAAAGGGGCTTCTGGGGGAGATCAGGATAAGAAAAGGAAATTTGTACCAGTCTTAGCAGGAGGGCCAGGGCAAGTTCCTGGCCTGCCTCCAGCCTCTCTGGGGTCCACACTTGGGTATGGGAACTAATACTGTTCGGCACTGCAGTGTGACCCCGCATACAAGTAGGGCTTGGAGGGGCTGCCCCTTCTCCCAGAAATGGATGGGAAAGAAGGGGGTTCTCAGAGGCTGAACCTTTTGCCTTCACAGCTCCAGCTATGCCCCAGCAAAACACAGGGCTGAAGAGGTGGCAAGGAATGCTGAAGTTGACCCAGCATCCCCATGCCTGCCTGGGCCTCAGGGCTGGAGTCTTGGACTGGGAACTCAGCCTCTTTCCACTTGGCCTCAGGGATGCCTCCTCCTCTTTCTCAGAGCTGGGGTTACTACTCCCTGGTGCAGAGAGGGAGCTGGCACTTGGTGGCAGGACTTGTTCCAGCGAGGGCTGCTCAAGAGAGCGGGGACAGGGTGAGGACAGGGGCAGTGTCAGTGGGCAACAGGGGACTCCAACTTTTGTAGGCGGCGACGGCGGAGCTCTGCAGCATCAGGCTCTCCATCTTCAGGCAGCTCCTCAGCACCCACTGACTCAGGAGCTGAGGATAGAGAAGTCAGAAGTGGAACCCGGAGAAGCCCCAGCCATATCCCTAAAGGCTGATGAAACCTACCTGGAGGCTTTTCAGTTTCAGGGGCTGGTGGGGAGGCTCCTGGAGATGGGGTGGTAGCCTCAGAGCTGGGGATGCTGGTAGAGGAGGCAGCAGCAACCACTGGAGAGGCAGTCTCTTCAGCAGGGTTGACAGAAGTGGCAGGCCGGGGGGGCCTAGGGACAGGGGACAGAAAGTAGATCCAGCTTGGTAACCTAGCTTAGGCAGATTGTTCTGTTCTTGTCAAGCCTTACAGGACAGTCTAGGACAATGTGCCCCTGTGACTATCAGGCACAAAGGAACACACTTGGAATGGATGCTCCTGTGGAGTGACTCAAAGGCCACAAAGTGTTCTCAAAACACTTGGAGGTGGACTGCTGACCCACCTCTCGTTTTCCCCTGCAGTCTCTGCTCAGGGGCATCAGGGCTTCACAGGGCATTTGCTGAATAATCACAAAGTGCTAAAGTCTTAACT